TCACTAGGCTTTACTACCTGTGTCACTCCTCTTGGGACCAACCACGTCTCTCACCCCTACACTGCTCTTGGTGTACTTGTGCAATACAAAATGAACATCACAAATTAACGCTCAACAATAAATGATTGTTCTCTAAACAATGTGAGAACTCAATAAAGCCCAACTCAATGTTACAATCTCTCACAACCCTAAATATATTATGTATGAAAATACTAAAAGCTCAAGTGGGTGTGTGTAAACAAAGAGTATAAATAAAATTAAACTAAACTCAATATAAAAATCTAGCTTATGAAAATGATAATCAAACATATAAATAGCTAAAGATTGAGTTTAGAAAACTTCTCCAAAGATAACAAGAGTGAAATAGATGAGATGAAAGCCCAAACACGAATGAATGATCTCTTCTTCCTCTTGTGAAAATTTCTTCACAAACAAAACTTGTAAAAACACTTAAACAAACTTTAAACGCCCTTTAAACTTGTTTAAAAACTTTCTTAATTACCCTCAGAAGTTAGAGGATATGGGGTATATATAGGATCATAGAACAAGCCCCAAACCAAGAGAAAACTAAAGAAAAAGACAAAAAAACAGGAACCTAAAAATCTGGAAAAACTAGCCGTTAGAGGCCATCGATCGACTGATGAACAGTATCAGTCGACTGATGAACAGTATCAGTCGACTGATGAACTGACTGTTACTGGTAGCACACAGCTCATCAGTCGACTGAAAACCTCATAGTCGACTGATAGCTTATCAGTCATAAAAACAAAAACTTTTGTACTTTCCAGACGATTTCATCGGTCGACTGATCCTTTGCATCAGTCGACTGATAACACATACTCAACCTGTTATGAATAGTAAATCTAATTTTCAAGAGGTTTTAAAAAATAGCAAATAAAATCCAAAAATTAGAAAACTTTGGAAAATGCTTATAAACATGATAATAAACATGTTACAAAAAGAATTTTTCAAATTACATTTTTCATTTGTAAAAACTCATCATTTTACTAAACTAGTCCAAAATATGAAAACTAAACATACTTGAAATTTGACATTTTGACTAAACCATGTTTTAAAACTTTATGAAATGATTATATAGACTTAATAAAATATTTATATAATGATTGTTAAGTCCAAAAACCAAGAATACAATATTTTCACAAAAGTGCATATACTATGCAATATTTTCTTAGACACATTTATTTTTCAAATGCAATAGAATATGAAGCATATGAGATGTGTATAAATTTGTTTATTTGTTTCATATCTATAAGTAAACTTGAAAACTCCAAAATGAAAACGTGTATATATATAACTATATATATATAAAACCAAAACTTGTATGTGTGTATGTGATTGAGCTTGAAGTATCTACACACAAAGTATAAACCTAAAACTAAATTGCCCAAGCTATCTTGATCTTCAATAAGCTCGACTTGATTGTGGATGAAGCTTGATCTTGAATTTGTCTTGAATGTGCAACGGCTTCATACCAATATTCCACCAACCTCCTTTTGATATCATCGTGTAGGCTCAATCCATCCCACCTCCAACTTGGATATTTGTGTAGATTACTTAACAAAACAAATGAAAACACTCGACACACGTTGTTAGGAATTGTTTGTAATTATCAACACAAGGTTAGGGAGTAGGCTCATAAACATGAGACCTAACAAGGCTAACAAGTTCTACGTTATTTGTTACACTATTAAGTTGGTTTACAATGACTGCTGAGATCTGATATTATCATATTACGGTTCAGATTTCCCGCATCATATTTTGCATAGTTCAGTCTAAATATTAACCATCTAATAATCATATTTGGGCGTGCACGCATGTTTCTGTGATGTGTTTTGGTGAGTGCTTCGGCATATAACAGATATTGTAAAACATTAATTTGTTCACTTTATCCTGGTATTTTCTCATTCGTGTTCTTAGTCATGAACAATATCTTTTATCATTCATCTTGAGATATGTTTGGTGCTTTTGTCTCAATTTTCTTGCTCTATTCCAGTTGCCTGGATGGCTTGCTACCAAGTACTGGAGAAGGAGAAAGACTTGCAAATTTATTATTCAATTGCAAAGTTTACTACTTTGAAAATCATGGCCACCACATTATAATGGTAGGTCGGAAGATTGTTGTTTCGTAGCAGGCATTTTAGGAGCATCTATCTTAAGTGGTATGCAATGAGACAGTGGATTGGTGTTTTCCATAAGATTTTTGGTTTCTTACTCCACACTACTGATGGTTTATTAATATAAGTAGACTTTCAGTGAAAGTACATTTAAATGTAACTGAATTAAAATTCATATATTTTTGAAATTTTATTTTCTGTTAAAGTAAGACCATGCACATTTTTGATGGGCCAGGTTTTCATTATTTCAGTGCCAGTTCAAATTCCATGGATCTAAGTCACTCGTACTTGTCACATTTACGCAGGAAAATGGCTTTTATCTGGGTAGTGTCATTAAGAGTTTGGGTTTGTATCGCCGGGCAAGACTGCGTGATGACATTAAAGATTTCCTTCCCACAACTGTCACAGATTTACATGAAGCAGATAGAATGTTGACGTAATCTATTCAGCATGTTATTATCCTGGAGAGAACATAGTCTAATCAGCTCCTAAATTATAGCCCACTTTTCTGAGTAGCCCTCATTTTTATTTTTTTGGGCGCAAATCGGCCCTCAAATTTCATTCTGTCTTCTTTCTTATACTATTGCCATGAAACCTCAATGGGGCAGGGGTATTGTCATTATATTCAAATTTTTTGGAGGGAAACTCCCTTGTATGTCAAAAGATTAGTTATATTTTAGTTTAATTGACGATTGTGCCCTTGTCAGAATTAATAACAGACACATATTTTCAAATGTTCATGGCCATGGTCAAAGAAACAAGACAGAATGAAAAATTGGAAGGCTGATTTGCAAAAAATAAAAACAGAGTGGCTACTGAGAAAATTGGTCTATATTCTTAATTTGGGGGCTAATTAGACTTTGTTTTCTTACCCAAGAACTGTTTTTGAGTAGATAATTAATTGATATTGTGAATCCCCTTAAATGCAGAAATGTTTATTTAGCCTCTAGTCCAGCGATGTTCTCCACCATGGAAGATGGCAGAATTGTGAGAGGTCTTTCGGGGATTCCTGATGATGGTCCCGTTCTGCTAGTTGGAAATCACATGCTATTGGGGCTTGATATGGTGCCAATGGTTCCAGAATTCTTAAGGGAAAAGAAAGTTATTCTTCGTGGTATGGGGCACCCGCTTCTTTTTCATGATAGGAGAGGTTCATTCAAGGGCCATGATTTTTTTGATCTTGTAAGACTATTCGGTGCTGTTCCTGTCACACACAGGAATCTCTATAGATTATTATCCGAAAAAGCATATGTTCTTCTATATCCTGGTGGTTCTCGTGAAGCTCTTCACCGAAAGGCACGCTTCCACCTTGTCTTCTTTTTCACTAGTCCAATGTTTATATGTGTCAGTTTCTGATTTTTACTAAATGTGAGCAATTTAATTCCTGGTAATAAACTATAAAGACCCAGAATATTCGCAATGGGTTTTGAGCCAGAATATTTATCTCAATAGTAAAGTGTTCTTTATCCCATGAGTTTTCTTCTTCATTTTCACTACTTTTCTGCTGTAGCTATACAAAGTCAATCTTTTCAGATGCTATTTTGTGATCTTCACTATGATACTTCATAAGTCATCTAGATGCAAATTCCGTTATTCTATTATTCGCTTAACCTTTTTCTGTCGTTGGTTGCTTCATGTGAACTGATGTTTCGTCGTATGTGATGTAACTAGAAATTTATCCTATGAAAATCTTAATCTTTTTGATAAATGCATTCAGGGTGAAGAGTACAAATTGTTTTGGCCTGATCGACCCGAATTTGTGAGGATGGCAGCTAAACTTGGAGCTAAAATTGTCCCATTTGCATCAGTTGGAGAAGATGATATTGTACAAGTAAGCTCAAGTTCAACATAACAATTTAATTGTCACTTGTCAGTCAATTTTCCTTTCAATACGTAAAGTTCAGGGTTGTATAATTACATGATATATTCTTATGTCTCCTACATATCATAGTTAACTATTATTTCAACGTCATAGTTGTTCTTCTAGTTCATGTGAGCCACACCATTAATATTGATGACTAAATACACTGTATGAACTATGATGTGAAACCAAGTAGGCACCTTCTTATCATACTCATCTAAAGGTCTTCAATTATTGAGATTTTTCATGGTCTTCAAATTACTATGAAAACCAAACAAAGAGTATTCTTTTAATTCATATTAACATATTTGTGTCCTAGTTCTCTTAATCTATTTGTATTACACATATTCATGATCAGTGCTGTTTCTTGGTGTGGTTACAGATGATACTTGATTCTGATGACTTCATGAGCATTTCCTTTATAAAGGAGAAGATAATAGAAGCAAATCATGACATAAAGCTGAAGTAAGCTCTCTTCATCTGTAACTTTCTAGGATTCAATCATCAGCACTACATAAACTCCTCTTGAAATTATTTACAGGAAGGATGAATTTGGAGACAGGGATCAAGATTTGCTCATTCCGTTTCTCTGGCCAAAAATTCCCGGCCGCTGCTATATTCTTTTTGGGAGACCAATTAGTATGAGCGGAAAGATGGAGGTATTAGAAGACAGGGAGAAAGCAAATGAGATTTATTTACATGTTAAAGCCGAGGTTGAAAGCAAAATCTCATATCTATTGAAGAAGAGAGAGGAGGATCCCTACAGGAGTATCCTTCAAAGAGCTCTATATCAAGCTGCTTGGGGTTCCTCACATCAAGTTCCCTCGTTTGAGCCATGATTAGCAACATATGTGAAACTGCAAATGGTTTGATCAAGTAAGTTTTCAAAGTCCTACAAGTAAAATTGTAATTATGCTGTTTTTATCATTTTGTTCATTTGCTTGGTTCAGTAGTTAAACTGTTATTAATTAATTCAGATGGAGGAAAGATGTTCCTTTATCATGTAATTAAATATATAGATATGCAATCTATTAAGACTGTTAATATAGTTTTGTTTCCCTAAATATCATCATGTTTCTCTCTATAGTCAGACAATGCAAGTAGGAAACGTCTGTTGTTGATATGTTGTGTGCACCAGTGTTTTCCCCCCAAGTTTTATGTGAAGCGAATTGTGGCTTTCTTTCAATAGATAGAAGTAGGAAGTACAATAGAGTTGCATGGTGAATTGATGACTATTCCTTCTTTAGATTCATACATGTGGTGAGTTTGACTATAAGGTTTTAGAAGGTTCAGCGTTTTGATTGCTTATGCAGGATAGAACTTCAGAGATTTGACTATGTTCTCACTAGGAGAAAGAAAGTAGTATAGGATATCTTGGCCTCGAGTGTTCTCATGTTAAAGAGACTATACATGCAGTTAAATTTGCAATGCATAATTGAAACATAAAACACCTATATTGATGGGTTTTGAAAGGCTTTTTTGCAATGCATAATTGAAACATAAAACACCTATATTGATGGGTTTTGAAAGGCTTTTTATCTAACTGTAAGATATCATGTATTATGATAAACAAACCACCTATATTGATGGGTTTTGAAAGGCTTTTTATCTAACTGTAAGATATCATGTATTATGATAAACAAACCGCATATACACTACTTATCACATACAATAACTTAATCCAACAGATACATTGGGGATATACTGATTCCCGTGCATATCTTATTGATCATAAGGTAAGTATTCCGTATCATAATGCGTTGACATCATTGCTATTATTTAAGTTATGGTGACATATAACTTAGATAATATCAAAATGCAAGTTAATAGTAAATTACAGTTTACCATACCTAACTAATGGAAGTGTATAGATGCTAATGCTTGGATACAATTGTAACTTCAATATTTTTGACGGGTATACATGCACTTAGGATGCTTTGAGAGGCATTTAAGCAAATAACTTCTGGAGGATGTGTATACCAGAATATCCAAAAAATAAATCTGGAATTGGTACCAGCTCATCAAAATATTTAAATACTTGCATGTATTTTTCTCAACTTGAAACTGTAATAATAATAAAAAAGTAATGGAAAACTATATGGAGCCAAATATTCCAATTTGCAAACATTGTGATTTATACAAAATGCCTCTTATAATATCGCAAATTACGTTCTTCTTTTACCTTGTGCAGTGTATGGCAGGAATGATGGCTAGAGCAATTGAGACATGGAAATATGAATCACTATCGTATATATTGGCTAAGTGTTGGGTCAAATATGCATAATATTGTAGGCGAAACTTAGTGCGCGATCATTCAATATTTATGGATTTCTTTTTCCTTTTTTTTTGTGCCGGTGACCGGGCACATGAGACCCATTCAAAAAGTGTGATCATTCATGATTATTTTACTTATACTCACTTCTTAGATCTGTAAATCATGTAATGTTCAATCTTCTTGTAAGTATAGAATTGGTTGATATAGTATATAAAGTAACTAGAAATAAATATGGAAACTCTATCCTAAAAGTATCTACATGCATTTCTAGACTTAGATAGGAACTCTATGATATAGTCATTTGGTAGAACACTCTCCTAATCGGACAATAGGTGAGAATCAAATATATCATTAATCAGGTAAAAAAAATTGAGATAAACTATATATAAAGCTCAGCATTTGAAGATGATAGATAAACATCTTTTCAATATACCGAAAATGCCCATGAAATTGTTGATGGCGTGCTGCAACAATTTCTTGAGACATGATGTAACAGTTTACCATCAATGTACTAGGGACAAAGTGTTACAAGTTCAAAAAAAAAAGGAGTTGAAAACTTTAGAAAAAAAGAAATAACTTCCAAGATAAAAGATGATTATTTATATAGATGGTGAGAGATTTTCACCAAGTTTTGTTGTTTTGTATTGTTCAGCACAGACCAATGGGGATAGAGAAGAAAATACTGCTCTTCTGCATTCCCTGTGTTTGGATATGCACGATTGTATGGTGTTTTGGTTCAGACAATTAACACTCTCTCACACCTAGCAGTTCAGAGAGAGAGAGAGAGAGAGAGAGAGAGAGAGGGAGGGAGTAGCAGAACATTCAAATTTGCAACAATGTGAACAGTTCTATATTGTTTATATTTGGGAGATGAATGTTGATACTGGCTAAGTTTGTACAAACAATCTTAAATTGATTAAAAGCTTATAATTTATAGCAGTTATATTCTGATAAGTACACAAATACTCAACTTAAACCGGCAAATTAACTATTTCCCCAAAAAAACTATAATGAGAAAAAACAAACTTCTCCAGAAAAATAGCTATCAATTATTTCTGAAGATTAGCAAAATCTACAATTTCTTACTTGACTTATCAGATGCAGAACGAACTTACAGTTGGTCAACAAGGAGGGGGGGGGATAAAATTTTAAAAAGGACTAGCTCGTTTAAGTATAAAACAAAGCCCAGGGGTTGTAAGTACCTCCCCCTCAAAATTTCTAGAGGGAGAGCTAAAGCACTCATCACACTCTCCTTACCTTCATCATTCAGCTCATTTCTGTTTAAAAAAACATCATGGCCACTTACCCGCCACAAAAACATGACCCCTGATGCCTTGAAACCAATTCAAAAAAAATCTCAAGACCAAATTCGAGATCGCCCCACTTCCAAAAAATCATGGCCTCTCTTACCATACCCTTACCCATCACCCACCCAAAACCCCAGAACCCCAAACCCCTCATAACTAGAATCAAGAAACCCCCATTTATTCGCTCTTCTCTCACAAAGAATATTGAACCATTGCATGATGATGGCTACATGACCTCTAAAGGCATCAAAGAATATCGTGACGCCGTCACTGAATCTTTGAGATTCAATGAGGGCCCACCGCGCTGGTTCTGCCCCGTGGATTGTGGGCCTCCGATTGAGGGATCTCCCATTTTGCTGTTCTTGCCTGGTAACTTCGATTATTTTTGGCATGCTACGGTTAGAAATATCAATTTCTAAATTTGTGTGCTTGTAGGTGTTGATGGCATTGGAATGGGCCTCTTCATGCATCACAAGGCTCTCGGACGGTAATTACTTTGTAAATTACTTGAGGTTTATTTGATTAGATGAAGTTGGAGCTGCAAATTCATTTGTAGCATCATGTGTCCCTAATGACTTTTGTTGTCGAACATGCCTCGGTTTGAATGCATTAGCAACTCCAATATTTGGAACTATTTTGCAACTACTTTTCGGAGTTACAACAACATTCAATCTGACAGACGCACTGAAATTTGGATGTAAACCCAATCTTGCATCAGACCATTTTTTTTTTATTAAAGCTCACTACTTCATTGTAAGGTTAATTTCCTTATATCCTAACCAGTTTTCATTACCTTGCAGGATTTTTGAGGTTAGGAGCATGCATGTTCCTTTTTCTGATCGTACATCATTTGAAGGTCTTCAATTTTTTATACTAAGTAAAGATAGAGTTATTCTGATGCTATACTTAACATCATTGCGATGCTGTTATTTCAACACGTTCTGGACTTAATACCAAATTTGAAGCGAGAAAGCTAGTCTTCAAACAAGGATATTTTACACTCAATTTTCATTAGTTTAAACTACTTTTTCAACCCATGCTGTTAAAAGTGGTTGATTATCATAGTATTCCCACCATTAATCCCCCACCCCTCAAGTGTTTCTGAACCATGCAAGATTACGGAACATTTTTATCCATCAGTTCTTGGAGTAGACGTTGATTCTCTTTTGTTTCTTCTAAAACCGTGTCTACTTTTTGTCTTTTCTGAAACATTTGATTTTGTTCTTGAAGGACTGCTAAATTTTGTAGAAGATATGGTGAAAATTGAGCATTCTAGATGCCAGGATAAGCCAATATATTTGCTCGGGCATTGTTTTGGCGGATGTCTTGCTCTCTCTGTTGCTGCTCGAAATCCTAATATTGACCTAATAGTCTTATTAACTAATCCAGGTTAATGATGCTCCTTTTGTGAAAGATGCCTTGCAGTTGTATGCTTAGTCTCTCTCTTATTTCTAATTGGAATGTGCCTACCTGAATACACAAATCTGATCTCTCTCCTCTCTTCTCTCTCAGCTACATCTTTTGACAGGTCATGGTTGCAGCTACTATTGAAAACTTTGAGGAGTTCATTTTGTCAAATGAACTTTGCGTTCCCATCAGTTTTGAGTCTAAGTATTGGTATGTGGTTTTTCCTAATGTTAGCAGATACTTGTTGCATAATATATATACGGGTGTAGATCCAGTAAAATAGATGCCATATATTGGACCTTTTTTCTGTTTTTACTTCTGCATTTTCCTAATACTATTTTAATAATGCAGGCACGTGCTATCATCAGTCGCAACTTTTGGTTATTGTGACAGTGTCTACCTATCTTCAAAAATACGAGCTGAAGTTCTAGTAGTAGTTGATAGCCAGCAATCTAGACATGATATTAAACTTAGATAGATAGTGATTGAAAGTAGAAACATGCTTTAAATGCCGCCAAAAAGAAAGCACTTGGAAGGGAACGAAGGTGGATGTCCTTTATGCATTGATGTAAATGATATTTGTTGAGGTATTTTTTCTAAAATTGTGTGAATGAGTGCCAAAAGTTTGTGCTTTTTGAACTCCCTTGACAATATCTAAAGTCATTCTACGCTTTCTACATCACACTTGATGATAAGAACACTGAAACGGTGACAATTAACCTATGCCGAACTAACTAGCAAAGTTGACCCAATTTTACGTTGGAATTGGTGCGATACATAATTTCAGCAACAAAGCATGGGTAATCTGCATCAACCTCTCGTGAGTGTCCTATAATCAAGCACTCCAAACAGTGGGTCTCACTCAAACTATTGGTTATCTAACCTGTAATTAGTGTTAAAATGTTAAATATATGTTTTTGTTGCTTGATGACAAAATTTGTCACGTAAATTTATTACGTTTTACTGTTTTAGATATGACAATCCAAGGGGGTTGTGTGCATGCAAGTTAAAAATACAGTAGAAAAAAATTGATAGTTACTGAAGTTCACCATGTTATTTCCCTGATACTTACCAAATAGTTTCTGAATCAAATGGTGCACATTGCGGTAATAAACTATTGAATGGCACCATCATCATGTAGCACTGTTGTTAGTGATAGATTTTTATTTTTAATATTTACTTCATTCTTATCTTTATTGGCATTAGATGGTCCGCTAAAGCTTGCTCTGGAGAATATCGATGAACTTACTTTGCAGATACTGGATAAATTTTCAACAAATTTCGTCTCTCCACTGATACTTCTTTCAGTAAGACTGTCCCCCCATTTACGGGTTTTTCCTTGCAGTATAAATTGTAATTTTTTTGGTGCATTTAATCGACTATCACTTAACATTCATATTGAGCCCCTGTTTTTGGCTCAACATTAACAAGCAAAACTTGGTTATAACAGTTGGGATCTAAAATCTGCTCAAGCTTTAAATTAAATGTCTCTGAATAATTTACTGTTAAAGAATATGGCAATGATTTAAGAAACTGTTTGCTTATCTGTAACTGATGTTTTCGGCTCAACATTAACAAGCAAAACTTGGTTATAACAGTTGGGATCTAAAATCTGCTCAAGCTTTAAATTAAATGTCTCTGAATAATTTACTCTTAAAGAATATGGCAATGATTTAAAGAAACTGTTTGCTTATCTGTGGGAAATCACCACAATCTATGCTTGTAAAATTGGCCAGTGTTGATTGTACATGAAATTGTCAAATCCTGAACCAACTTCAGGCACTATATCATTACATTGGAACACCAAGTTTGTTATTTGAGTACCCTTAGCCTAATAGTTAAGCCATTAGTTTCAAGTGGATAATCATGGTTAAAGATATTAACTGCAGTCATAACTAAAGGCTAATAACAGAAAATATTCAGAAGTAACTGGAAACTTTAAGAAACATGCAACCAGAAGGTGTAGTCATACAAAATAGGACAAACTTACTTGATATATCGAGTTCATTTTCAACTATGTTATACTGCAGAAATCATTTCTTAGGTTGTCAAGAGATGATTAAAAAGACTTTTTGTATTTATTTAGTAAGCAGTCATATGACAACCTTTCAGAAATTCTGTTTGAGTAAAAAAGAATTTCATATGATAATTTTGGCAAAGACATCCACTTTCATAATACCTCTGTTAGATATTGCAAGCACATTACTATTGTTTCTCTATGGATTCATTGATTGTTTTTCTTTTTTGTTGGGATAATTGAACACAGAACCAGAAAATAGAACATTCACAAACACAATATTTATGTGGTTCGATCAATTTGATCTACGTCCACGGCAAGAGGGTGTTTCACTATATTTCTTTCTCAAATTACTGTGAACGTGTTTCTGTGCTTTGCTCGTGGGGTCCACACCTGCACGTGAGTCTGCTTGGAGTTTAATTGTTGTTCGGGTTTTTCGTTTTCGTTCGGGTACGTGTGAAGCGGCCCACGAACAATCCTATTTAAAGAGCCTAGGTTTTCGTGAAAAGGTGATGCAAAGGAGGGCGGCGGCTTCGTGCAAACAGGAAAAGCGGCAGCGAGTGCGAGGGCGCTGTGCAGCAGGAGATTTGATTTTTGGTTTTGATTTGTGTGCGGCTGCGGAACAGAAGTGCGCAACTGGGGATTTCTTTTCGGCGTGCAAAAGGCAGAGGCTACAGTGCGGATGCAGAGATAAAAGAGGAGATTTTGTGAAGCCTTTTGTTTAGAGTTTGTGCATCCCCTTTGAGAGATATTTGTGTGAGGGATTTGAGAGTTTGTGTGAGGGTTTAGATTGAGTGATTGTAAACCCTAGTTGTTTTTCTCTCCCTCTAATAGTAGATCTCCCCCTCCTTGCCCCGTGGACGTAGGCAATTTGCCGAACCACGTAAAAATTGGTTGTACTGCTTTTGTGTGATTTGTAATAGCTTTTAGGGTCCCTCGACAGGTCAGTCCTAGAACTGATGAGAGGAAGAGCCGATATCTCACTTGGTTGAGATATCCGCTTCAGATTCTTGTCTCCTTGGTGAGACGAGAATTCTTATTGCGATCTGACTCTCTTGTTGTGCTGCCGAAGTGCTGCCGAAATTTCCGCTGCGCGCAACAATTACAACACTCATACAAAATTTGAGAACTCACTTTTGTTGTATGGCTATCTCTCGTGTGTCTGTGTTTTTCTCTACTCTACCTTACACTCTCACTTCCCTTTTAATTCACATAGAGATAGAATAAATCAATCAGTGATTGATTGATTGGGGAGGGGACCACAAGTGAGAAAATGACTTAAAAAAGTGTGACCTTCTTTAATACACGCAGAGACAAAACAAAGAAAGAGGGAGTGGTTGATTGAGATGGGGCAACACATGAAAGTGACATAAAGATGAGACCTCCCTTCCACAATTTCTTCAGCAGCCGCGTTGAGATAACTTGACAGCGACCTCCCGTGATGTTTGGCCAAATTCAAGCCAACAAAGTCAACAATCTCCACCTTGGATTGAATTCCCAAACATTAATAACTAGAGAGTATTCACCGGTCTTGCAAACAATGCCCCAAACGGGGCCACCTAACAAGTACGAATGCCTCCCAAATTCAAGCAGTGCTTGAACTTGAAGGCTGGGATCGGTTTGGTCAACATGTCAGCTGGGTTGTCTGCAGTACCAATCTTCATCGTGATGTTTCTTTCAGCAGTTGTCTCACGAATGAAATGATATCTGACATCAATATGCTTTGTCCTCTCATGATGTGCTGAGTTTTTGCTTAGATGTATTGCGCTCTGATTGTCGCAAAATACAACTGAACTAGCCTCCTGTAGAAGTCCAAGCTCACTCACGAGATTTCTCAACCAAATGGCCTCTTTTACCGCTTCTGCTGCTGCCATGTATTCTGCCCCTGTAGTAGACAAGGCAGCTGTCGACTGTAGAGTTGATCTCCAACTAATAGCTAAGCCAGAAAGAGTAAAAAAATAACCAGTCAAAGATCTCCTTTTATCGAGATCACCTGTATAGTCAGAATCCACAAAACCTACAACTGAGGTTCCCAAAGTACTGCTATCAAAAACTAAACCTAAATCTGAGGTATCCCTGAGATACCGAAGGATCCACTTCACTGTCTCCCAGTGTGCCTTTCCTGGTTGAGCCATGTATCTGCTCACTACACTGACTGCCTGGGCAATGTCTGGACGAGTGCAAATCATAGCATACATAATGCTACCTACTGCATTGGAATATAAAACTCGGGACATCTCCTTCTTCTCGTTCTCACTTGTAGGTGAATCTGAAGCCGAGAGCCTAAAGTGAGGAGCCAAAGGAGTCGTAACGGGCTTGGCCCTTTTCATCCCAAAGCGTTCAAGCACCTTTTTAATATAACTCTTCTGTGAGAGATATAAAGTTCCAGTTTTCCTGTCCCTCCTGATCTTCATACCTAAGATCTTCTTTGCTGCACCAAGATCTTTCATCTCAAACTCATCACTGAGTTGTTTCTTCAAAATAAGAATCTGTGATATGTTCTTAGCAGCAATAAGCATGTCATCGACATATAATAGAAGATAAATAAAAGAATCATCTCCTAGATGCATGTAGTACACACAACTATCATAAGTACTTCTTGAGTACCCATGACTAAGCATAAAATTATCAAACCTCTTGTACTACTGTCTGGGAGATTGCTTCAGGCCGTACAAAGATTTCTTCAATCTGCAAACTTGATCTTCTTTACCTTCTACGAAGTATCCCTCTAGCTGAGACATGTAGATAGTCTCCTCAAGTTCGCTATGCAAAAATGCAATCTTCACATCAAGCTGTTCAAGCTCCAGATCAAATAGAGCAACCATGGCAAGCAATACACGGATGGAGGTATGTTTCACAACCGGAGAGAATACTTCATCATAGTCAATTCCCTCTTTTTGTCTATAACCCTTAGCCACCAACCGTGCTTTGAATCTAGCATCTTCAACCCCTGGGATCCCTTCTTTCTTCTTGAAAATCCACTTGCATCCAATTGCCCTTTTACGCTTAGGTAATTGCACCAAATCCTAAGTCTGATTCTTATAGAGTGACTCGAGTTCTTCTGTCATAGCCGTGGCCCAACGTCCAGATTCTCTGCATGAGACAGTTTCAGTAAAGTTTGATGGCTCTTGAATACACATCTCTTCAGCTGTCGTGAGAGCATACGCCACTAATTCAGCATGTGCATATCTTTGAGGAGGTTTGATCTGTCTCCTCTCTCTGCCAGTGGCTATGGAATAAGGTTCCTCAATCTCAGCATCATCAGCATCTGAGCCTGAATCATGTTGCTCTTCTACAGCTGTAGGAGCAATTTTTATAGACGACTTTTGAGACGTCTCTCCCTCGAGCTCCACCTGAAGCTCCACCTTTTCCATGGTCTTCTCTACATTTCCTGTAGACTCAACAGAAACCTTCCCACGATTAAGCATATATCTTTCATTAAAAGTAACATCTCTACTAATAATGAATTTAGGAGAATCAGGTTCAAGACTCCACAAACGATAGCCTTTAACGCCATCAGCATAACCAATAAATATGCATTTCTTAGCTCTAGGCTCAAGCTTACCCTCTCTAATATAATAGTAAGCGGGACATCCAAATACCTTTAAATTTGAATAGTCATTTGGTTTACTTGACCATATCTCATTTGGAGTCTTGTGTTCTATGGCTATAGAAGGAGACCGGTTCACCAAGTAACAAGCTGTGTTAACAGCTTCAGCCCAGAAGTCTTTATCAAACCCAGAGTTTGAGAGCATACACCTAGCTCTCTCCGTCAACATTCTATTCATGCGTTCTGTCACCCTGTTTTGCTGAGGAGTGTGCCTGACCGTGCGATATCGTACGATCCCAGAATTTGAGCAGAACTGATTGAACTCACCATTGCAGAACTCTAGGCCATTATCTGTTCGGAGACGTTTAATTTTCTTTCCAGTTTGATTCGCAACAAGTACTTTCTGTAACGCCCCGCCCTGGAATCCCGGAGTCGGTACGCTATTAGATCTGATGGACTGGCCTCACAAACCACCACATGTCTTTTCAGCACGTTTTGTCCTCACTCACGCGCTCCCTGAAAAACTTCCCAGTGGGTCACCCATCCTAGAATTTCTCCAGGCCAAGCACGCTTAACTTTGGAGTTTCTAAGAGTTGGGTTCCCGAAAAGAAGATGCATCTTGGTGGTATGAGTATTCCAATCAAATCTATCAATACTAATCACATTACCCTCTCAAGGATTGGGGTATTACAAACTCCCCTACTTAAACTCGCAACGTCCTCGTTGCGCCAAATCATATCATCCAAGACCGTACCATCTGTGTGAGATTCTAGAGGTGGCTCCCGCCCTCTCGACGTAGCACTTTGCGCCGCATAGCACTTAGCTCTCACAATTCCGGTTGGTTTTGCTCTGATACCATTTGTAACGTCCCGCCCCGAAATCCCGAAGTCGGTACGCTATTAGATCTGATGGACTGGCCTCACAAACCACCACATGTCTTTTCAGCACGTTTTGTCCTCACTCACGCGCTCCCTGAAAAACTTCCCAGGGGGTCACCCATCTTAGAATTTTTCCAGGCCAAGCACGCTTAACTTTGGAGTTTCTAAGAGTTGGGTTCCCGAAAAGAAGATGCATCTTGGTGGTATGAGTATTCCAATCAAATCTATCAATACTAATCACATTACCCTCTCAAGGGTTGGGGTATTACACTTTCCACTTCTTGAAAGTTTCGAACACCTCGTTTTTGCGCCTGAGAAAGTAAACTCAAACTTTTCTGGAAAAATCATCAATAAATGTCAGAAAATAAAGAGCACCACCTTTGGATGGAACCTGAGCAGGTCCCCACAAATCTGAATGGATGTAGTCGAGAGTGCCCTTCGTCATATGTGAGTCAGTCGAGAAGCTGACCCGAGTTTGCTTCCCAAACACACAATGTTCACAGAAATCAAGTGATGATGTATGGTCACCACAGAGTAAGCTACGTTTACTCAAAATAGTCATCCCCTTCTCACTCATGTGGCCTAAGCGTATGTGTCACAACTGAGTAGTGTCCCTATCAGCATCAGAAGACACACCTGCAGAGCCTGTCACCGTACTGCCTTGGAGAACATAAAGACTATTCACCTTACTACCTTTCATCACAACCAATGAACCCTTAGTAACTCTAAGAGCTCTACATTCACCAGTGTAAGAACACCCAATAGAATCCAAATAACTCAAAGAAATCAGATTTTTTTTTAAGTCCGGGATGTGTCTCACATCTGACAAAGTTCTCACTATCTCATCGTGACACCGGATGCAAACTGTACCAATGCCAATTGTCTTACAAACTGCATTGTTGCCCATCAAGACTGATCCACCACTTATAGATCTGTAAGTAGTGAACCAATCTTTATTTGGACACGTATGAAAAGACACACCTGTATCCAAGATCCATTCTCTATCAGAACGGCCATCCAAGGGACACTGCAAGAACCGTCTCAGCAACAACGGCAGTATCAGCCTTTGCCGTATTAGCTGAATCTGAGGTTTCACCACGCTGATTGTCTTTCTTCTTTAGAGCATAGCATTCTAACTTGTAATGCCCTTTCTTATGACAGTAGAAACACTCCACATTTTTCTTGTTTTTGGCTGACCTGGACTTTGAACGATTTCTGGATTGTCCTTTATCACCCTCTCTGGTCTTCATTCTACCTCTGGCTAGCAGACCATCAGTCTGACTATCGGTACCTCTCCCATTCAACTTTGTTCTTAACTCAGCAGAATTCAAAGAGGCCTTCACATCCTCATTAACTCAGCAGAATTCAAAGAGGCCTTCACATCCTCAAGACTTATGGATTCTCTTCCATACAACATAGAATTAACAAAGTTTTCATAAGAGTGACTTATGGATTCTCTTCCATACAACATAGAATTAACAAAGTTTTCATAAGAGTCGGGCAAGGAACACAATACAATGAGAACCTGGTTTTCATCATCAAACTTTAGATCCAGGTTTTTCATATCCATAACAATTTTATTAAATTCATCAAGGTGTTCTTGAATGGGTGTACATTCCTTCATCTTCAATGTGTATAGCCGCTGCTTCAGGTATAATCTCGTAGTAAGAGATTTCTTCAAGTAGAGACTTTTGAGCTTTGACCACAACCCCGCTGTCGTTTCCTCATCGGCAACTTCACGAAGCACATTGTCGGATAGTGACAATTACAAGGCGCTGTGAGCCTTTTCGTCCATCTCTTCGATCTCGGCACTAGTCATATCTTCTGGGTATTTCCCATCAATAGCTTTAACCGTGCATTCACGTCGCAACAAAGCCTTCATCTTTATCCTCCATAGGCCGAAATTGTTCTGGCCATCAAAGATCGACACCGAGAACTTCACAGAAGTCATTGTGTAGGATTGAAAGCTGTCCTAGAACCGAGAAGCTCTGATACCAGTTTGTTGGGATAATTGAACACAGAACTAGAAAATAGAACATTCACAAACACAATATTTACGTGGTTCGGTCAATTTGATCTACGTCCACGGCAAGAGGGTGTTTCACTATACTTCTTTCTCAAATTACAACACTCATACAAAATTTGAGAACTCACTTTTGTTGTGTGGCTATCTCTCGTGTGTCTGTGTTTTTCTCTACTCTACCTTACACTCTCACTTCCCTTTTAATTCACGTAGAGATTGAATAAATCAATCAGTGATTGATTGATTGGGGAGGGGACCACAAGTGAGAAAATGACTTAAAAAAGTGTGACCTTCTTTAATACACGCAGAGACAAAACAAAGAAAGAGGGAGTGGTTGATTGAGATGGGGGCAACACATGAAAGTGACATAAAGATGAGACCTCCCTTCCACAATTTCTTCAGCAGCCGCGTTGAGATAACTTGATAGCGACCTCCTGTGATGTTTGGCCAAATTCAAGCCAACAAAGTCAACATTTTTGTTTATTAAGATGGATTCATAATGGTCGTGGACGACATTGATTAAAAAATAAACTCTTTTTGAATCACAAGTTCAGAAATATTTAACCACAAATCCCTCTTACTTTTTTTTTTCAATATGGGGCCAAATACCAACCTCATGCCTTCACCACACCAAACTTAGTTGCAATCAAATGGACACAATCACTCCCAACTCCCAACTAGTATTTGTTATGTGCCCATTTTAATCCTTATACTTTTGCCTTTTAAATTACATTGTCTTTCCTTTTGTAAATAAGCTTCAGTTCTACTCTTAGCATAAAAGTTCCGTTATGCTGAAACTTTTTTATGGAATATAATGTAAATGGCTTTCTTTATTGCAGTATTTAGTGGATAATATATCAAATGAGACAATTTCATGGAAATTGAAGCTACTTAGTCTAGCTGCTGATCAAGCTAATTCTCACCTTCATGCTATTAAAGCTGAGGTTCTTGTTCTTTCCAGGTTCTTATTATTAACTCTAGGATATTCCACTATTAATTTTGTTATTTTTGGTTATTTAATTCTTATTCTTCATGGATTTCCCATTGAAACCCGATTGCAAATAATTCTATGTATGATTTAGGGTCTGAAAACCCCCAAATGGAGTTAACTCTATGTTGTATGTAGTTTACCCAACTTTTATTACCTTCCAGTTGCATGGCCAGCTTTCTACCCAACAGAGATGAAGGTGAAAGACTCCGGAAATTATTACCCAAATGCAAGGTTTACTACTTTGAAAATCGTGGGCACAACATTCTGATGGTAAGTGAAAGAAATTTGTTATTTCATTGCAAAAAATTTAGGCATTTTAGGAGCACATCTCTCCCGATGATAATCATGAAATTTGATGCTATTGTGGCATGATATTATAACGGGCTTACTAACTCTACTATTGATTGCATCTTAATAAGATCTTAGATTAATGGAAATCACATCCCATCCCAAGAAAATGTAAGCTCACAGTTTCTTTTGGAAAGAAAAAGAAACAGTCACGTTTTTGGTGCTCTTGGATTTCCTGAGAAAGTAAATCAGAACTATATCAGTTTCATCACATTGACAGTGCAAGTTCTATGAATGCTACGGTTTCTCTTGTTCTAAATGGTACGGGCATGACTTAATCATTTCAATGCTAGTTGAAATTACGACAATTTGTATTAGATGTGATGTGTCCATTTTTGCAGCTTAAACGTTTATTATTTTACCCCTGAGCATGAATTAGTCTATCCTTTTGAAAGCTCTCCGAGATAATGCTAAACTGGAGCTCTGAAGTTAAGGATACTCCTCAGTGTTCTGATTGTTATATTCATTTAATTACTTTTTTTTAACTCATGAAACAAAACTACATGAAGCTTCTTGCTACTATAGACACAAATAGTTCGCAAACTGAGGTATTTCCGTATATTGAATACCAATATGATATAACTCTAAGCTAACAAAAGATATATAACGAACAGAAGATATATGATGAACAGGAAGCTAAACTTTGTAAGATAAGGTTTTTTTTAATGAATCAAAATATTATGAGGGGTAGAAAGCTATTGGCAGAAGTGAGCCTTAGAGGTTAACTAGGCCTGTAGACTTCCATCATTATATGGATATCCTTGACGCAATCTGTAAACCTAGTCTATGCAACTGTTATTAAGTAAAAAGGACTCTCTTCTCCCTGGAAATCACATGCATAGCTTGAAACTGGAACTTTCTGAAGTCTTATTAGACAACCCAATAATTGGTACTAAATGTTCAATAATCAACTTAAAACAAAATTTTCCTCTTTGAATATGTTAGAAGGAAGAGTACTATTATTTCTTTTCCACTGTATAGTGAAAGCCAAAAATCCTACTGATAAGATGTTTTGCCAAATGAAATATAGTAAACTTAGTAGAATCTAACTAATTTAGCTTTTTTTTTGGCATTTTCAATAAGTTGTTCTTATGAATATAAGCAACCAATCCATGCTCATCCAACACTTATGCAGGAAAATGGCGTCCATCTATGTAGTATTATTAAGGGTGCTGGCCTGTATCGTCATACAAAACACCATGCCTATGTCACAGACTTCCCCCCTATGACTACAACAGAACTAGCAGCAGCAGACAAGATGACCAAGTAATGCCCATTAAGCATGTTAATCCTGAAAAGTTATAGTTAATAGGATTATTAGCAGATGGACCCTATACTATTGCCTAATTGCAGATAGAACCGCTGACTGAAAGTTTTTGACACTGCTGCCCTTACCCTTTTTTTTTAAATAGACCTCCTGAGGGTAGAAGAGTCAAAAGAATTGCACTCAGATTTCGGAGGGCATATCCACAATTGGGTGATAGTAACATTAGAACTACAAGGGGTCTATCCGCAGTTGGGTGATAGTACAGGGTCTATCCACAATCAAGCCCAATTATTATTACATTCTTGGTTGCAGAGCTGTTTATTTAGCCACTAGTCCAGTGATGTTCTCAACTACAGAAGACGGAGAAATTGTTAGAGGCCTTTCTGGTGTTCCTAACGATGGTCCTATTTTGATTATTGGAAATCATATGCTAATGGGATTAGATATGATGCCATTGGTTCTAGAATTCATAAGAGAAAAGAGAGTTGCGCTTCGTTCTATGGCACACCCGATTCTTTTCATGAATAGGAGAGAATGTTCATCTGAGGGACATGATTTTTTTGATTTTGTAAAATTATCTGGTGCTGTTCCTGCCACAAATAGAAACCTCTATAGGTTATTATCAGAGAAGTCATGTGTTCTATTGTACCCTGGAGGTCCTCATGAAGCTCTTCACCAAAAGGTGTGTATATTTCTCATTTCACTTTTGGTAGTTCCTCTTGGATAGGTAGTTTCCTCTCTTTTGTATTTCCATTACCTTATAAATATATTTTAATGATTTTGAGTTTTGATTTGTAGGAAAGAAAGTCATAGGGTACTTGAGTTTCAGAACATGCAAATTCATACATATATGTTCTGATAGATAGCTGTTAAGCTAATTGTAGACTTGAAATTTATGCATTGAATTGCTTTTAACAATGATATTTGTGTCAATTGAAATATATGTTTATGTACATGTGCATTAAGTAGCCTTTTGGAGCTTATGTTTGATTCTGCTCCTTAAGGTTGAGCAAAACTTGTCTTATTGTCATGGGAAAGTACTGCTTATTGGGTCATTATTTTATAGTAATTATCGACTGAAATTTTTTTGGATGAAAATCATGTATACGCTGTTGTAGTAGAAACTTTTGCGAGATATTTTAGGATATGTTTGTCAAAAAATTTATGACAAGCTGGTACGGCTGGAGAAAATTTTATTATGTTCCTGCTAACAAAATTATTTTATGTATTCTGAGGAGAAATCTTTGGATGAATATCATGAGAACATATTATAAGGATAATTTTTTGGGAAGATATTAATATGTAGCCCTTTGCTTCACTTATGGATTAGTTCAGGGTGAACAACACAAGTTGCTTTGGCCCGCTCAACCTGAATTTGTGAGAATGGCTGCTCAATTTGGAGCCACAATTGTCCCATTTGGAGTTGTTGGAGAAGATGATATATGCACAGTAAGCTCAAATAAATAAAAACTTTGTTGAACAATTTTTTGCACATTTTTTACTCATTCACTACCAAAAGACAGAAGAAAAATAAATTGGCCTACAGGTTAACTAAATGCATTATGCATGAGATTTGAAGTTACTTTTTTTTCCTATCTAAACTGCTTAACCTGAAGTTCACGCAAAAAATATTTAAACAATGAAAGGCCTAATTCAATTTGTATCAATCTTTTGCAATATAAAGTAGGCAAATGTGGTTAGTAATTTACCTTTGCTTTATATTCATGCATGCAGCACATAGGTGGTGTTCCCTTGCAAGGAATTTCTAACTGGTACAAGGACACTAACTTTTCCAATAAGTCTTCATCAACAAAAGCTCATAGTGGCATTCATAAGTTAATTACTGAGGTAGTAATATTTTGTATCATTCTTGGTAACTGTTTAAGACTACCTATACTTGGTAAAAGAACATGAATTTATCTGGGAAACTCTCCTATTTTTTCCCCTCTACTTTTGGTGAAGAATAGCTATTTATTCTTCTCCTGTACACTTTGCACATAATTTTCTTTGATTTGTGTACTTTATTAGCTATTTATTCTTCTCCCGTACACTTTGCACGTAATTTTCTTTGATCTGTGTACTTTATTAGAGAGATACATGATCTTTATTTTCTTTCTTATAATCTATGCTCAGTGCTGCTTGTATCCCTATGATTGCAGGTTCTGTTTGATTATGATGATCTAATGAGCAACCTCTTTATAAGACAGATGATAAATCAGTCTAACCATGGCTCGGAATCAAGGTAAACTTACTTCCTTTTTTGGCAATTGTTGTTCAGAGATACATTTTTCAAACAGGGTGTTCTAAGCCATTCATTGAAAGGGTAGGGGCAGTTTGGGAATTTAATTGTACTCATTATGGTTCAAACGAGGTGTTTGTGACAAGATTTGTATTCGTTTTTTAAAATGGCTTTCTGCAAATACACCACCCCGTAATATATGTCTGTAGTTGCTTATCACTCATGTTCTATTTTATTAGTACATACGCCCCCTCCTGTTATAATTTTAACTCGAGTGAGAACTTTCACGCGAATTTAACAAATAACAGGAAAACGGACGACAACCAGCTATATCCTTATATTATGTATGTGCAAATAACCCATTTATTAAATCGGAGCTTTTCCGATTACGTGATGAATTTGGAATTTGGAATCAGGGACCAAGAACTGTTATTTCCATGTATCCGTCCGAAAATTCCTGGTCGCTTTTACTATCTTTTCGGCAAACCAATAAGCTTGGAGGGGAAGATGGAGGTGTTGAAAGACAAGGAAAGAGCAAAGGAGGTGTACTTGAACATAAAATCTGAGGTGGAGAGCATGATCTCGTTTCTGTTGAAGAAGAGAGAGGAGGATGACTACAGGAGTATATTTAGGAGGATGCAACATGAAGCTGCGTACGGTGCTGCTTCTTCAAGCCAGATGCCCACATTTGATCCATGAGAGACTTTTGTGAAACTAGGTGGTGGGTTTTTAGAAACAGATCTGTTAAAAGTTAAAAAACCATGTTTAGGTGGTTATCATTATTTTGTGGGGTTGTTTATTTTCACATCAAATGTCTCTTAATTGACTTGAATGGAGGAAATAAATATATACAGAAGCTCATTTTTATGTGTGCAATATCTGAGGATGAAATGTTGAATCACTGTATGAGTTTATTATTTCGCTTTAGTTATAATGTAGTGTGTTGTAAGAGCCGTTGATGATCGAACGATGGTGAATAGAAAGGAGAACGGTGTGGAAAAAATTTTTACGAAACTACCGTGATTTATTACGTGTTTTTGTAGCATATTACTGTTTAACTAGCTGCATTTGGGAAGAGTTTACAGAAACTATTATGAAAATATTAATTACAAATACCACTGACCGAAGTAGAAATACCCTTCACTTTTTATAAATTAAAAAAAAAATATCACGTTCTAAATTTCACTGAAGTTTGTTAATAAAAAAATAAGTTAATTTAAGTAAAGCACAGCAAATGGTTTCGTGGTGTAGTTGGTTATCACGTCAGTCTAACACACTGAAGGTCTCCGGTTCGAGTCCGGGCGAAGCCAATTTATAATTGCTTTTTATTTTATCTACTGAATTTTTTTTTTTTCGTAATTACAGCATTGGGCCGGCCCATAGATTCTTCTTTACATACAATTTTTTCTGCCTCATCCTCATCGTACTCGGCAAATCTTCTTGCATTACAAGATTTCTTATATTAACGAAAATTGCATGCTACATTTTAAGCTAGAGAACAAATTATAAGAATGCCATGAAAAAAAATAATATCGAAGATCGTTTATGAGAGGTTAAAAACTAAAGATGCCAAAACCATCCGCTTTAATAAAAGTGAGGATGAGATTCTGTCCATTCTCTTTAGCTAGAAGATAAGATTCGTCAAATGGAAAAAAAAAGGAAACAAAAAGAATATTTTCCCCCCTCTCTATATATAACGGAGCTCCGCTAGAAAACTCCAACATTGATGAATTCAAGCTCAAACACAAGAAAGAGCTGTTTCGGCTGTCGGTTCGGGTCTTGGGAGAGCCTAATCGAGACCCGAACCAACCCGTGGGCCAAATCGAATATTTTCAACGAAGTGGATCCACCCTGTGATCACGTGTGCAGACCCGTTGTTATTGGATCGGATGGAAAAACCGTACCCGGAGTTGTTGACTGTCCCTTGAACTACAATCGTAAAGGTACTGTGGCTATGGTCACGGAGAGCGCTTATCGGGTCCAATCAGTTAATCGGTATGCAAAGGATTACGTACCCGGTAACCGTAAGATGTGCTTTCCGGGTGGCATGTTTCAAGGACTGAAGTCCGAACCTGCTTTGGTTTCGGATGGTGGTGGACCCGGCCCAGCCCAAAAGGGAGGAATTTGCCACCAGAAGAGCCACTAGAAAAAGTGATCAATACTGGCGACTTAGATCATGTGAGGGGTTCTGCCCGGCCCAAGTCAGGTTCTGGGTGGATCGACACAGGCCCAAAAGGTTGACTAGAGAAGGCGATCAACGGCATTATCAAAGCCGCTGAGTATGTGAAGGGACTAGCGGGGCCCACTTTGCAAGCTGATAGTCGACGGTGGGGCTCCATAGGGGTTGCACTAGGGGTGCTAAACCGTATCCGTATCCGAAGAAATATTTGTAACCGTATCTATTAGGATACGAATATAGTTACTCAAATCTATAACAGAAATGACCTATTTTGTATCACATGAACTATATTTTTCTCAATACTATCTAGTTTTGTCATATCTGTTTTGTATCCGCATGCATATCCGCTTATATATCTGCATGTATATCCGTAACCGTATCCGATTTTAGCGGATATGGTTATAAATTTTCCTTGCCGAGATATATCTGTATCTGTATCCGTATCCGAGATGGGTAAGCGGATATGGGAGCCGTTACCGGACCGAATGCACCCCTAGTTGCAACTATATTGATAATAGAGAGACCGTAAAGAGATACGGTGAACTGTAGATACAGTGAAAGTACAAGTCGTATTGTTTGCAAGAAAATAGATATATTTTTTAGTATCAAAAAGATATCAATAAGCAATTATGCAAATATGAAAATGCTATCAATCAGCTTTTGAGAATTTAAGATCTTTTCTTAATGCGTCAAATAAATGTGATTTGCTCTCTTCTTTAAGCCCATGAGCCCTCTCTCAAAGGGGAAAAAAAATCAAAGATCGTATCCTTTATACACTTCTTGGTTCATTTATTTTCTTCAAGGGTTTTTTTCATGTATACCCTTGAAGTCACAGGTATTTTCAAATTTGCGCTCCAAATCATAATAAATCTAAATTTACCCCTCAGAATTGTTCCATTCATTCAAAATTGCCCTCGTCCTAACTTCTTCTAAATCCTTATTAACGCTTCTTAGGGGTAAACTTACTTCTTCGACCCAATTTTAATTATTTTGAGAAATAAAATCAGCATAAAAAAGAAAATGTTTAGATCGATCACGGAAGAGGTGATGCCGATAGCATGATATAGGGGTTCCTCAAAGAACTTTCACAATAAATGTTAAACTTATTTTAGATATATACACGGATTTTTTTTCCCCAAAAAAAAAATTTTGTTTACATTGCTTCTCACATAACTTCTATTGCAATGTCTATGAGGGTAATATGCTTGATCATAAACGAAAAGTTAACACCCAAATTCTAATGAATGTTAAAAAAAATTAATTTGTAACTAAGGGATGGTACAGGGACTAAAAGTTGAGAAGAAGAAAATGTGAGGGGATAAATGTGATATGAGGCCCAATACAGGGACCGCATTGGGCTTTTACGTTTTTGGGTTGTATATGGCAATAATGTTATGATGTTATTTATTTGTTTCTTTATTAAATCTATTTGCATTCCAAATTTCTTATATTATAACAAAATTTTATGCTAAATTTTAAGGCAGAGAACAAGTCGTAAAAAATGACATGAGAAAATAATATCCGAGTTTCCAAAAAGAAATCGTTACGAGAGGTTAATAACTAAAGATGCCAAACCAACCGCTTTAATAAAGAAAGAATAAGATTCTGTTCATTCTCTTTAACTAGAAGATAAGAATCATCAAATGAAAAATAAATAAATAAACAAAAAAAGAATAATCTCCCTCCCTATATAATGGAGCTCCGCTAGGAACTCCAACATTGATGAATTCAAGTCCAAACTCTATGTCTGATTACGGGAGCTACACACCTAC